GGTCACGCCACAATCCCTTCTCCTCCATTCTCCTCTCGGGATCTTGGGCACGCACACACACGCGCCCAGCGTGAGTTTTAAGCCACCAGGTCTGGGATGTGAACCGCGGTCAACTATGTGGGAGTCCAGCGACATAGCCATTACGCTAACTGCTGGTTCCCAACATTATACACTTTTTAAGAATTATTTTTAAGCATTATTTATTTACTTTTTCTTACTTTTACTTGTTTATCTATTTTTAAAATTACTGTAAGTCACATGAGCTCACCAGAGAGAGACGAAGAGTGAGAGGGAAAGTGAGAAAGCAAGCCACCAGGTCTGGGCCTCGAACTGTGGTTGGCCATTGTAGGAAACCAGCACCTTAGTTGTCATGCCACATGCTAGCCCCACCTTATGTACTTCTTCTTTTTTTATAGAGGAAGATTTTTGCTATAGAGGTGTGTGTGCTAGCTGGAGAGAGAGAGAGAAAGAAAATGAGAAATTATCCCCCCTCAGGGGCGATTGCCCTGTCACAATTCCTTCTCTTCCATTCTCCTCTCAGGATTTTGGGCACACATGCACACATGCCTAGCATGAGTTTTAAGCTGCCGGGTTTGGGATTCACCACAGTCAACTATGTGGGAGTCCAGTGACGTAACCATGATGCCATCTGCTGGTCCCCCTTATGCACTTTTTTAAAGTAAAAAATTATTGTTCAAAATCTGGACTATGGAAAACATACAGAAAAAATAAAACCACACACACAAAAACTCCCTTCTTTAAAAAAATTAATTGTGGGAGACCAGCAGTTGGCGTAATGGCTATGTCGCTGGACTTGCATGTAGTCAACCGTGGTTTGAGTACTGGACTTGGCTTAAACTCACGTTGGGCGTGTGTGCGTGTGTATCCAAGATCCTGAGAGGAGAATGGAGGAGAAGGGATTGTGGCGTGACCATCCCCCTGGGGGGGTGATTTCTCGCTTTCTGTCTCTCTGTCTCTCTCTGTCTTTCTGGCGAGTGCATGCGCCCTATAGCAAAAACCTCTCCAAAGACAAAACAAAACAAAATTAATTGCAAGAAAAAAAGATGTATAGGAAATATAAGTACATTGTATATATAAAATACATAGTATATATATGTAGTATATAATTTATATTATAGACATTTATACGTAGATTTTATGTATAAACACATAGAAAGATGTAGAGGAAATATAAATACAAAAGAGAATTAAGATACATATAAACTAATTGCAATGAATAGATTTGGATTTAAACTTAAGAAATACTTCCGTGAGATTATTGGGGAAATTTGAGTACTGGCTGGATATTTAATGATTTAAAGTCCAAATATGATATTTTGGTTATGTTTTTAAAGAGTCCTCTTACAAAACAAGAAACAAAATCACAGAACTTTAGCATTTGCCCATGGCACCTAGCTATTTCATGA